CCAAGGGTTATAGAGGCATGAACAAGGAATGGGTTCAAGGGCCATAGAGGTATGATCCTACATGATGGTACATGGGTCGTAGAGGCATGACCAAGGAATGGATTTAGAGGCTATAAATGCATGACCTAACATAGTGGTCAAAAGGCCGTAGAGGCATGACCACGCATGGTAGGTTCAGGGTTAAAAGTAGGTCAGGGGGCCATAGAGGCATGGCCAAGGAATGAGTTCAGGCGTCGTGGTGGCATAACCCAACATGGTGGTCCAGGGGTCGTAAAGGCATGACCATGGAGTAATCAAGGTACTAAAACTTTGAATGCCTACACTACATCGACGAGGACTACCATACAACCTTACACCGCTCTCTTCGAAAGGTAGTTAGGTTGGCTAGGAAGCTGCCTACTACTTTAATGAGGCATGTGATAGGGCTTACATTGCTCACTAAGCAAGAAAAGGTTGGATAGATTAAGGAGGAATGTCGATGAACTTATATTGCACCTGTGCGCTTGTCTGTATTGATCAGTTAGAATAAAGAGCCAAGAAACTTTGATCCCTCCTACGAACTGATCGAGGTGTGTAATCTCAAAGCCTGCACTACGTCTGTTTTGAATGCCAAGTGTTTTGCATCATTATCCAAGAGGAAAGGCATGTTAGCTAGGGAGACAAGCAATAAAGCTAAGGACGTCTAGTGATGAGGCGCTCTCTTGAAGGAACCGGCCTAGAAGTCTTGTAGTTCGAGATGCATCAGAGTTGAATGGTTGAGGTGCCAAAAGCTAATGACGCCAACTAGGAAGGGATGCACATGAGACCTACATCCAACCCAAAAAAGGGGTCTATGGGTCGTACCGGCATGGCCCGAAGGTGATTCCTGTGGCCGCAGGGGATTGACTCAAAAGACAAGTCCAGAGTTCGTAGAAGCGTGAATCGACAACAAGCGGTAGAGACCTGACCTAAAAGGTAATTTAAGAGGTCGCAGAGGCGTGGCTCATCCTAAAAAAGTGATGAAGCCTTAAGTACTTGCTATGGTAAGGAGAAACTCCGAGGAATTTACATTCACCATTAGAAGTATGCAAGGTAATAAGGTCATATTACCTCATATAATCCAAGTCATCTATCGTGATCTCATGAAAGAACTACTGAAAATGTTCTACAGTTCAAGAGCTGTCAAATAAGTGGTTGAAAATCTATAGGTTTCAGAAGACAAGATGTCCTCATAACATAGTCGAGATACCCTCTTGAAATAATCGAGAAACATCGTAGCGGGTGGCTATAGAGCTAAAGAACCGTCATGAGACGAGATACCCTCTTGAAATAATCGACTTGAATTTCATTGTTTGAGAGACATCATATGATAGATGGGCAAAGCGGTCTAGCAATCCAATATGTATCGATAAGAAATAAGCAAAGTGGTTCTCACCGTATACGACATCATGGTATCATCGGATGTCATGAGATCACGATCGAACACGGATCGGTCTACTAGTTGAAGTAATCTATCCAATACGGTGTATTAAGTGACAAGGTGATGAGCATCAACATAGTTGGATATGTATCGAAGAGGTGATTGTACGAAGCAAACCACTTCTCATAGTACCTGACAAACTTTAGCGAGTTAGCTCTTGCTGGGGAGTTTTGCGGGCACAAAAATGCCCATCTTAAACATGGACAAATGAGGCTAGCATAGAGCTCAGATTAGTGCGACACGCGACTTGATATGGTGAGTATGATCAACTAGGTCGAAGGAATCGCTAGAGGTGATTTCCAAAAGTAACAACGACAATATTCTCGTTGGGGATACCTTTCAGGCTCTACCAAAGATACTTCGCGGGGATTTGAACAACTCATTATGACATGGTGAAAAAGCTCAAACTAGTCCGAAGAGGTATTGAAAAGGTGTTGGATGTGTAGAGTCATCCAACCTTGTAACACTTTTGCAAGTTTTAGCAAAGTGACCTTCAGTGTGGATTTGAAGTAATCCTCTTTGGGGATTTTATGTGATCCTTGTTGGGGATTTTTTGAAGGCATAATGATACCCATCTTATGTATAGACTAATCAAGGCTACAAAGGACTCGAATTAGTGGGACATGCACTTTGAGATGGCGAGCAAAATCAGACAAAATATTATAGAGGTATCAAAGAGAGTTGGACGCATGAGACGGTCGAACCTTACGGTGCTTTCGCAAGTACTAGTGGAATAATTACGTCTCATGAGACGGTCCATCCTCATGGTGCTTTCGCAAATACTTATGGACTAGTAGAGTGGCCCTCATTTTTAAGGAAAGATGACAAACCAACCTATATGAGGTACTTTTGCTAGATGCCTAATAATAGGACTCCGTTGGGGAATATTTCTTTGGATTCCACTGGGTATTTTCCGTGAGAATGAATGCATTCTCATATCTGCATGGGCAGAGTAGACAAATGTAGACCATAATCAGTGCAACATACCTTCTGAGGTGATGTATAGGATCAACTGAGTCGATCAAAATGTTGAAGAGGTATCTAAAGGGTTGATTGCATGAAACGGTCCAACCTCATGGTGCTTTTGTAAGCTGCAGCTCAACAAACGTCGTTGTGCATTTCCATAAGAACAAGCAAAGTAGTTCTTGTCGAGGAAAATGTCACAATCTGATAGGGTATCCATGCTCTCGATTAGGCGAAGTGAGTGCTCTAACTGATGTGACATGTTTACTGGCAAAGCAACAAATTGTCCAAATCAGTCGTATTACTGAAATGGATCGGGTGGACTGAGGGGTTCAACTCATGTGGGATACCCTTGTCAGGGATTTGTCAAGCAAGACTCTCACTGGAGATTCCTTAAAATTGATGATGCAATTTCTGTTTGAAGGGCATCACGAAGTAATCAGACTCTGGGGTTGGATGAACATTAGAGAGAATCAACTTAGATGTTTTTGTCACATTAAACGTCGATCATCTGATGAGTTGGTTCAGAGAGTAGATGTTTTAGATTTGATTTATTTTACGAAAGAGAGATATAGACCTAAAAAGATTTGGGCATATTGTATAAAAAATGACTTTAATCTATTACATTTAAATAAAAAAAAATGAAATGCAATGGAGAAACATGATTCATGTAACGGACCCCACTTAGGGTCTGTTTGGGGCAACTTATTTATTGTGGTGGCGTTTTGAAAACGCAGCTGGACTTTTTTGGTGGACCATGTTTTGACAGCTCATGCGTTTTGAAAACGCGGAAAGCAGCGTTTTCACACCGCACTTATCTAGGTGCGGTGACAGATTTCTGGCAACGGTCTGACTTTTCCAAAAAAATATAAAATTTATAATAGTCACCGCACCTTGCTTATCAGCAGATTATTTTTAAACAGTTTATCAGCATATTATTCAATAAATTGCGGCTGCCCCAAATAGACCCTTAGTGGGATAAAGGCTTGTTGTTGTTGTTCTTCAATTAAAAAGATACCAAAAAAATATATTTCTAAGAAATGTGAAATTTAAAGTCGAAATATACTAACTTAAATTTAAGCAATTTTTATTTAATTTATTTCAAAATAACAAAATATTGGCATAAAAAAATCATTTAATAAAATCAAGACAATAATTCTTTTATTAATTTTTATCGCAAATATGGACTCGGGCAAACAATAGGCAGTTAATTATTTGTAAGACGACTAATGAGCATAGGACAAAAATTAGAGTGCGAAAAAAATATTAACATACATATCATACAATTCTTATATGTTTACATATCTATCATTTAAATTTTTATATTTATATTTATAATATGGTATTGTTATAATCTTTATATATACAAATATATTTGAAATTTGAAAAGTAAATAATAGTAATATATTTTTATATGTTAAATATTTAAATGTTTAAATATTAAATTTTTAATATTAGATGTATTAATACACAAGAATTATTTTATGATACATGCTTAAATTCCCCTAAAAAAACATTTGCATACATGCAATCCTCACAATTTTGCATGTTTAGATATTCAAAATTTAATTTTTTATGTTTATATTCATAACAATTAAATCTTTATAAGAAATTTAAAATATCACTTTTATTTAATTTTTAAAAATGAAATATATTTTTCTTATTTTCGTTACGTCATCTAACATCCAACACAAATTTTGAGATATTGCACAGATCTGAATGCACATTTTGGAGAGAAAAGATGTTCGAACTTTGATAAAAAGTCATATAGAGCCCTCATTCAACAAATTTATAGTTAAACTGATCAGCTCAACAATATGGACCCAAATGTACGAAAATTGGTTGGTCCAATCCGAGCCAAATCAAGCTCAAGTCAAACCATTAAACTAATTTTGGAAGCTTTCCGAGCATTTTTGGGAGGTCAAATGAAAGTCAAATCTGACGAGTTTATAGTTGAATCGAGCGTCTCAACAAGACAAATCCAACGAGTCTATGATCACTCAATTTTGACATCATTAAGGAGTCAAATATGCATCAAACGTCGTATGATCAAAGTAAATTGTCTGGACCGTCCGATCAAAGTGGTTCAAATTCCTGGATTAATTGCAATTTGAACATTAAGTTTGAGGCTTGAGGAAGAGCTTGAAGCTTTGAGAATGATCTGAAGTTCAACACCAATCTTGCAGCCGCTGACCGCCGCAAAACATCGCCGACCACCGCTGACCCTCTGACGACCACTACCTGTCTGCCGCGGCCGATCGGTCTCGGTTGACTCTCGATCCTGGCAACAAATTTATCTGCACGTCAAAACATTGTAACTTAGGAGAGTCTCTAACATTTTTTTCCCTTCTATAAGAGAAGTGATTGCAATTGCAATCATCATTTATAGTAGAACTCTTCAGCGTATGGGAGGTGACATTGGTAGATGTTAGATATTACGTAAAATTTAAGGTAGATGTTAGATATGTAAATATATAAGTACGGAGTGGCATATATGTAAATCATCCAAATAAAAAAGGTTTTCCGTGTAAAATAAAAGGGGAGCCAAACTAGTTTCCATTCTCGCCCTTCACTAGCTCATTACTCTCTCCCCGCAGCTCTGCAACCATAATGGTGTCCGTCGAGGAGGCGGAGGCGGCGGCCGATTACACGAAGGACGGCTCCGTCGATCTCCGCGGAAACCCAATCCTCCGGTCTAAGCGCGGCGGCTGGAAAGCCTGTGGCTTCGTCGTAGGTAATCAATTAATTATCCACTAATTAACTCTCTTCCACCTTAATCTCTTCCTAAAACACTCTTAGCCATCACTATTTACTAAGAATAGAAGATTCTACAAGCCATTAAGTCGTTAACAGCTGACTTAATTACTTCTTCGCCATGGATTTAGGAGAAGAAGAAATGAAGCTTGTGCTGTTAATTGCTGCTTTTAAAAATGGATTCGTGGAAGAATGAGAGCCGTGTGCTTTGTAGATCAGCTTCATGTAGTTATTTCACCACCAAGCATGTGAAGGAATTAATTGTCATTCTGAGTTAGGTGGATGATTTTTTCAAAATAATTTTGATTAAATGCTATTTTAATAAATTTTTGTGTCATAGAAATTGATTGAATAATATTAATTTTAGGTGTCAGTTGCAAGTTTTGAGTTAGGAAGAAGTTATACAACCACTTAATCCTATGTATCATGTTACTTATGTTTGGAAAGATGCACTTTTTATAAATTAAATAATGATACTTTTGTTGTGATATGTAAGATTTAGGGGTACAAATGTAAGAGGTGTTTGACAGCACTTTGGATTTACAAGTTACGAATTTACCAAACAACCTAAATTTGAAGAGTTAGATATGTCAATGCACACATTTGTTTGGTATGCATGTAATAATGTAAATGTCCCTAAAGAAGTGGTGGACTTCATGAATAATTATGAAAGAAAAAGCTAGCTCTGCACTAATTAATGGTGTGTTATATATTATGAAATGATAGTTATTGTTTTATAAATATATGCAGTGTATGAGGTGTTTGAGAGGATGGCTTATTATGGGATTTCATCAAATTTGGTGCTCTATTTGACCAATAAGCTCCATGAGGGCACTGTGACATCGGCAAATAATGTTACTAATTGGGTTGGAACTGTGTGGATAACGCCCATCATTGGCGCTTATATTGCTGATGCTCATCTCGGTCGGTATTGGACGTTCATAATCGCATCAATCATTTATTTTTCGGTGAGTTTATCCAAATTTGATTTCATTTGATTATCTTTGCTTAACTATTTTTCTATGTCATTATATGCAATCTCACATTGTTAAATGTTAGATTTTTTGAAAGACAAAGTAGGCAAGAAAAATCTTAAAAGTTGAGATTTGGTAGTGTGTATGAACGTGTAATTAAATTCATTTTAACATAAATTTTAATTTTTTGCATGGATGTCATCTTACTCTTTTACGAAAAGGTATTTTTCAAATTTTAAAAATTAAAATGGTAATATTTTTAATATTATAAAAAAAATTAGGGGGTAGATGTATAAATACATAGGATTAGGGTGAAATGTATGTAAATTGCCCTAATTAAAGAAAAAATGAGGCTCCTTTTAAAATAATTGAGAAGGATAGGCTGAGAGGAATCCATATAGATAGAGGACAAATGCATAAGCAGGATTTTCTTCAGTCTTCTTTGACTTCATAATTAAGTAAAGGGAGGATTTATAGACATATCACCTAATTTCTATGGATTTACATTTTTAACTCATATATTCTACTTTTTTGCATTTATACCTTTCAAACTTTTCTTATCATATAAAGATATCACCATTTTTGCTTTAAAAAAATTAAATATGCATTTTTTTGCATTTATAAGATGTCATATATTATATATTCATGTAAAATTTGAAGTTTAGGTATTAAATATGTAGATACATAAAAATTAAGTAGTATATATATATATATCTTTCATTATAATATATAATCAATCAATCAAATTCTACATCCACCCAATTTCTATGTATCTATACATCTAACTTCTAAAGTTTTACTTTTTACATTTATATCATCTGAATATTTTTTATCAAATAAAAAATATTACTTTTTTTAAGGTTTAAAGGGTAAAAATATAACATTTTATACATAAAAAATATCTTAAATGTAAAAGATTACAATTTAGGTGTGAGATATGTAATTTCATAGGTTTTAAGTAGTATTTAAGTAAATCTTCCTAAAATAAAATAAAATTTACGAATATGTCACATGATTTTTATGCATATTAAATTTATATATACAAAAGTTTAGAAATAAGGTTAAGATTTCCTTTATTATTTTTTTTATTAAAAAAAAATCTTTAATACATGTCTATAATTAAAAGCTGTCTTACATTTATTTAAAAAGAATTTAATTATTCTAAAATTTATATTATTTAAATTTAATTATAAATATTGACCGAAACTTATGATTTCAACTCATATATTTTGTGTTAACTAATATTTAAATGTGTTGTATAAAATAAACTAATATTCACTTATTACTTATTTCATAAGAAAATTCATATGCTTTAGAGTCATATAAATTTGCCAAATAAAATGGCAAATTTAATTCATATTTCTACATTTAAAATTATTTTTCAAAGCATTTTAAAAATATTTGATAAAAAAATAATATGATTTGCAAAATTAATTCAATTATTTTCAAATTTTCACAAAATTTTTTGGATCCCAAAATCACTCAAAATCAAATTTATAAATCAGAACGAGTATTTCAAAAGGAGTAAAGTGTCAAAATAGTCCCTAAATATTTACATGAGATCGTTTTAGTTTCAGAGTTCATAGATGTTTCAAAATAGTTCTCAAACTGATTAATTTGTTGTTGAAGTAGTCCTCATGGAGGACACTTAAAGCTCAATTCGCGCTTCTAAGAACTCTGGGACTAAAACAACCCCATGTAAATAGTCGGAGACTTTTTCGGTACTTTATTCATTTTAAAAGACATATAAACTCTAACTTTTGTAAAGTTATAGTCATGAACGTGGTTTAATGAGATGACTCTATAGGTAGAAATGTAGTTTTAAATGCATTTATATTGATTCAAGTTGATCTAAGCAACCTATAGGAGGTGATGGCAACCCAAATGATTAGCTAAGACTATTCTCGAATCTCTTTCATTGAGCAAAATCTTGACTTCCTCTAGATCTCAATGACATGCTTAATTTAGATTGTAACTTAAAACCTCTTGAATCCATTATCATCTCTACAAGCCATGAAATTCTGACCCATTTGTAGCATTAGATCATAAGAATACAAGAAAATGTTCTATGCTTTGAAGTTCACCTTTAACCACAATTAATTGAGCGAATCAACGCTTTGATTGTCGTGCTTGCGGAAGGGTTGCGGAAGCTTAATCCACCTATCTAGCTCCGGGTCTTTTTCTCTGACCCTCGGTGCACAAAGAGTCTTCTTCTTCTCTCAATAAAGATCTTAACACGAAGTAATCCAAGTAAGAGGATCAAATTAGGGCATAGCGAAAGGGCTTTAGCCGATATTGACCCAAAAATATGAAAAATCCAAGAGCAATAATGTGCATAGAGGAACAATAAAAGAGAATAAATGCATAACCTTATAAAAACAGTTAAAAATAAAGCCCGAATCTTGTGTACGTGGGGCGTACATGCAAACCCTGATATTCAGGTGATATTGCATCTCAATACCACGTCAATAACACGCCAACACCATCAATCCACATCTAATCCGCACGCAACATTTTTCGAAAATAAGAGCGCCAAAATGACTAATACAAAACTAAGCTAAAACCCTAACGACCAGCAGCTGGCTTCATAACATACATAGGCTGTCAAGTGTAAAGTCTTTCTGCAAATAATTGCTTCTAATTACAAGTGAACAGCAATGTGAAAGAGATGCCTTTCACTGTCTTCCAGAATAAACTTAAAAAATTAGGCGTCGCAGCCTAAATGCAATAATTTTGTAGTGATTGAAACGGGCTAAGAAATGAATATGTTTTGGTAGCTGCATTCATTATTCAGGAAATTCAACGGCACTTTAAATATGGAATTATAACAGTGGTGGGCTCGAACATATAAATGGAGTGGTTTGTGGATTCAATGTTCATCTTATTAAAGAAAAAAAGGGGGTTAGATATGTAAATACATAAGACTTGAGTGGCATGTATGTAAATCGTCCAATATCTTATTATTTATAAATTATGATAAAGGCTCTACGTTTGAATGACCGATCAATAATCTCAGCACATCATTTTCATATGAAAAATATGCATTCATGACATGACATACAATTCTTATATATATATATATATATATACAGTTATATGACAAAAAATTTTATTATATTCATAAAAGCAACCAGGTTTTCTTGATGAATGATGAGCATCTAATTATAAAAATTTACAAAATTAGTAAAATCATAAATTTACTGAAAAAAAATAGAAGTTTATGAGTAATTAGGCAAACTTCTATAGTGAAACTAGGGAAAGGGTCCATTTATTCGTATTTTTGCCTCATATTTATAGAGGTGTATTTGGGCAATTACATAAAGGAGAAAATGATTATGGAAACCACCATTGATGGGATTGATTGTGTTGATCTTACACTAAATATGCATTGCAAGTTGAACTTGAATATAATGGTAGCTTGCCGGTCGACTAATTTGGGTCTGGCCGAGTGAGGCGACCGGTTGAATGACGATCACGTTTGTCGAAGCAAAAACAGTGGGTCGACTGGTTGCGATCGGATGCCCTTGTATGGAGTTTGAGCGGTGACGACTGTAGAAGTGGTTCATCGATTGAATCTCTTGTCATAGTGTGTCAGTTGACTCCGACTGGGTGGTTAGTCGTTGAATAAACGATTCAAATTGTGCCCTTTTGATCTGACGCCTCGATTACCCAGCTACTATCCTGGGCAGCTCGATTGCTTTGAGATTCGTGTCGACAGTTATAGTCGTATTTGGGCAATTACATAAAGGAGAGAATGATTATGGAAAGGAAACCACCATTGATGCGATTAATTGTGTTGATCTTACACTAAATATGCATTGCAATTTGAACTTGAATATAGTGGTAGCTTGCCGGTCGACTAATTTGGGTCTGGCCGAGTGAGGCGACCGGTCGAATGACGATCACGTTTGTCGAAGCATAAGCTAGTGGGTCGACTGGTTGCGATCGAATGCCCTTCTATGGAGTTTGGGCGATCACGACTGTAGATGTGGTTCATCGATTGAATCTCTTGTCATAGTGTGTTAGTTGATACCGATTGGGTGGTTAGTCGTTGAATGAACCGTTTAAATCGTGTCCTTTTGATCTGTCGCCTCGATTACCCAGCCATTATCCTGGGCAACTCGATTGCTTTGAGATTCGTGTCGACAGTTATAGTGTATACAATATGGTAAAATCAAATTTCATTAAATATGAAAATATGACGAATTCATATAACATTTTCTACTTTCTGGCTCTTTTTCTCTTCACTACTCTTCTAATGCATTCAATATTATCTTAACAGGGTTTCAACTTAATCCAGTTGTTCCTCTTTAGTTCCCTCAATAATTTCTAATATTTTTTTATCTTGATCTCATTTATTTTTCAACTGAGTTTTCTCATACATTCTTGATGTTCAATTATGTTTTTGGTTATTTTTTGTCAAACTTCTTTATTGAAGTGTGTGTTTTATCTATTACAATTTTTTATTTCTTTCAAGCATAAATTAAAGAATATGTTCTTGGACCTCCCTCTCCTAAATGGTCGATATGATCAAGTAGATAAAAATTTTGAGGAAATAATATAATTTACCTTACAATTAAAAAAGTGATTATAAAAATTGAAATAAATTTTAAAAAAGACGACAGATCGAACTAGAGCTCGACGATTCAATAATTTCTAATATATTTTCACTTGATCTCATTTGTTTTTCAACTGAGTTTCTCATACATTCTAGATGTTCAATTAAGTTTTTGCTTATATTTTGTCAAACTTCTTTATTGAAGTGTGTGTTTTATCTATTACAATTTTTTATTTCTTTCAAGCATAAATTAAGGAATATGATCTTGGACCTCCCTCTCCTAAATGGTCGATATGATCAAGCTGATAAAAATTTTGAGGAAATAATATAATTTAGCTTACAATTAAAAAAGTGATTATAAAAATTGAAATAAATTTTAAAAAAGACGGCAAATCGAACTAGAGCTCAACGAGATCATTTTATTAAGTATTGCTCCATCTAGGATCACCAACTGTATCATACATGCTTTATGACCAGACAATATCTATGATTAATAGGGTGATGTGTGCTTTAGGGCCATGTAGTATCTGTGGTTAGTGTGATGTGTGTTCTAAGACCAGATAGTATCTGTCATTACCAGTGTCATGTGTGATCTAAGACCAAATAACAATTGTGATTAATAGTGTCATGTGTGATAAAACCAAGCATTATTTGTGTTAACAGTGTTGTTTGTGCTTTAAGATTAGACAATATCTATGGTTAATTGTGTAATGTGTGCTCTAAGATCAGGTAGTATCCATGGTTAACAATGTCATGTGCAATAAGAGCATATAACATATGTGATTAAAAGTGAGTGTGTGCTTTAAGAACTGATGTGTGTGTGTTTGTCTCTATATATATAGTTAACTATGTCATGTGTGGACTAAGACCAAATAGTATTTGTGGATAACAATGTTATGAGTGGTAAGACCATGTAGTATCTTTAGTTATTAGTGTCATGTGTGGTACCTTAGCATTTGTGGTTCATAGTGTTATGTATGCTCTAAGATCAGGTAGTATTAGTAGTTAACAGTCTGACGTGTGTTTTAAGACCATGTAGTATATGTTGTTAACAGTGTGAAGTGTACTTTAAGATCATATAGTATTTATGGCAAACAAGCGGGGACAATTATATAAGCCACAATTAGTGATCAGTTGAGCTCTTTATTTTTTTTCATCATTGCTCTATATAATATTACGAAAACCAAATGTGTCAAAACCCACATTACATATATGAATGCATAATAACTCACTTGTTTGTGTATAAAACATCAACCAAATCACACCCACAACCAACTACCATTAATGCAAACCATAACCGGTGATCAGTTGAGCTCTTTATTTTTTTCATCATTGCTCTACATAATATTACGAAAACCAAATGTGTCAAAACCCACGTTACATATATGAATGCATAATAACTCACTTGTTTGTGTATAAAACATCAACCATATCACACCCACAACCAACTACCATTAATGCAAACCATAACCAAAAACACAACCAACACCAATCACAACCATATATGCAAAAGCTGCAACCAAAACTAGAGACAACCCTACCAACAACCAACACCACCAACAACCATATATGCAAAGTCATAACCGAAACCAGAGACAACCCTACCAACAACCAACATTGCAAAGCTACATCCACACCAACAAACAACATCCAACAAATATCACTAAACCACGCCCATAATCGGCACATAAGAGAGACCACCATACCGAAAAACTTGCATCTTGATTACCAATAATTATGCAACATCTTAAACAGTTAAGACAAGTGCCAACAAAGACAAATTTGTTTGGAAGACTAACAGAAGAACTATAGAGTTGACACTTCAATTAGCGACATTAAATTCATAATTTTTATGTAAATGTATAACAATAAAGTGTATCACTCCATTTGTGGATATTGCAATAAACTTATAAGGAACTTTACTGGCTAAATATGTACATATGTGGTTGTGCCTTAGGGTTTAACAAGTAAATTTTATTGCCACAACCAAAATCACAACCACACCCACAACAAAAAGGAAAATCGAGAAGTCTCAAGGCATAAACCAATTTGGTGAAACAAGAAGCACTAATCGCCACCACTAAGGAAAATTAAGAAGCCCCCAGACACAACAAATGTGGTATAACGAGAAGCACCAAACCACCACCATAGAGGAAAACTAAGAAGCCTCAAGGCACAACCACATAATTAAAATGAGAAGCACCAAACCACCACAGAGGACAACAAAGAAAACCTACTGGTACAATCGCATAAGTAAAACAATAAGTATCAAATCACAACCCTAGAGGAAAACTGAGACACTCCAATGGCACAACCATACAATTAAAACAAGAAGCATCAAACCACCATCACCGTAGAGGAAAACTGAGAGCCCCAAGGCATAACAACATAAGTAAAGTATGAAGAACCAAACCAATACCATAGAGGACTACAAGAAAGGAGGGAAGGGTTTCGTTAGAGATACATATAGAGAGAGGCGATTAGAGGAAAACCGAGAAACTCCAATGGCACAACCATACAATTAAAATAAGAAGCATCAAACCGCCATCACCGTAGAGGAAAACCGAGAGCCCCAAGGCATAACAACATAAGTAAAGTGTGAAGAACCAAACCAATACCATAAAGAACTACAAGAAAGGAGGGAAGGGTTTCGTTAGAGATACATATAGAGAGAGGCGACAACGAATATAGTGTAGAAGAGAAGAGGACCGAAGATGTGCCTAACACTAGTTGCCCACAACGAAGCCGAAAATTGAAGAGGGGAGGGGTAATATCGGGGATAAAATGAGTCAATTTCAAAAGTGATGAAGGGCGCCATGGTAATTGTGAATCCAGACTACAATTAGATCCGTGGAATCTAGCATGGATTGCCTTTCGCAGCTTCCCCTTTTTCAAAACATGATATCTGTAAAAAGAAACTGAAAAATTGGCTCCCAAACAGGTATTAACATCTTTTCAAAATGAAAAAGTAGTAATGAAGCACTCCTAAACGCACCCTTGGTTAAGAATGATAAAATTTAACATGAATTGAGCTTCTTGCTTTATTACAATTAGATCCGTGGAATCTAGTATGGATTGTCGTTTGCAGCTTCCCCTTTTTCAAAACATGATTTCTATAAAAGCAACTGAAAAATTGGCTCTCAAACATGTATTAACATCTTTTCAAAATGAAAAAGTAGTAATGAAGCACTCCAAAATGCACCCTTGGTTAAGATTGATAATAGTTAACATTAATTGTGCTTCTTGCTTTATGAATCATTAAACATATCAAGAAAATTTATGATTTTAAACATCAAAATGTTTTATTTTGAGCATTTTAAAAAACAAATTAATTTATTTTAAAAAATTAAAAATAAAAACACTTACAAAAATTTTACTAACCCTAAACATTTTTAAAGACAATAGTTAAAACAAGATAAAAACAAAAACAAAAAAAAGTAAAAAATAAAATTACTCACAAACAAGCCCCAACTATTAGGGTTTACTTTGTCTCTTGATCAATGGAACTATAGAAGCTGGTATTCAAGAAGTATGGAAGAAAACTTACAATATAATTGCAAAATAATCAAATTAAAAATATTTGAATAGAAAAGTAATATATTTGCATAATAACTAATTATATGTTCATTATTTTGTTTATTTTCTAGCACTCTTCACTTTGATCCATTATAACTTTGATCAAGTTCATTTTCTCTCATCATCTACACCCCATTATCTTCATGCAAACTAATTCAAATTGCTTTCTTCTTGCATCACAGGGCATGTGTGTTCTAACACTAGCAGTGTCCCTCCCATCTCTCAAGCCTCCTCCTTGCGGCTCCGGCACCGTCGACCCAACTTGCACCACCAAAGCGTCCTCCTTTCAACTCTTCATCTTCTTCTTCGGACTCTATGTCATCGCTCTCGGCACGGGCGGCACGAAGCCCAACATCTCCACCATCGGTGCCGATCAATTCGACGAGTTTGACCGACGAGAGCGCAAGCATAAGCTATCCTTCTTCAACTGGTGGATGTTCAGTATTTTTTTTGGCACGTTGTTTGCCAATTCCTTTCTCGTCTACGTTCAAGATAATGTGGGGTGGACTCTGGGCTATGCGCTCCCCACTCTCGGCCTTCTGATCTCAATCATGATTTTTGTCGCCGGCACGCCATTCTATCGTCACAAGCCGCTGGCCGGAAGTCCGTTTGCGTAAATGATGCAGGTGGTGGTGGCAGCAATGAAGAAGTATGGAGTAAGCCTGCCCGCTGATCCCAAGGAGCTACATGAGCTTGGCCTGCATGAGTATGCGGGCAATGGCAAAGTTCGGATTGGTTACACTCCTTCAATGAGGTTGGATTCTATCAAAAATCCATTTTTTTAACGAGAAATAATAAGCTTGGTTAAATATTACTTTCATGAATGCAGATTTCTTAGCAAAGCGGCGATCAAAACAGGAAAATCCAGCAGCCCATGGTCTCTCTGCACGGTGACGCAAGTAGAGGAAACCAAGCAAATGGTGAGAATGATCCCCATTCTGATAGCCACCTTCATCCCCAGCACAATGCTCGCCCAAACCCACACTCTGTTCGTCAAACAGGGCGTCACTCTCGACCGCCGGATTGGGCCCCATTTTCGCATCCCTGCAGCAAGTCTCGCCGCCTTCGTCACCATCTCAATGCTCATCTCCATCGTCATTTACGACCGCGCCTTCGTTCCCCTTGCCCGCCGCTTCACCGGAAATCCCCGCGGCATCTCTCTCCTCCGCCGCATGGGCACCGGTATCTGCATCCACATCGTTATAATGCTGGTCGCCAGCCTCGCCGAGCGTCGCCGCCTCTCCACCGCACGCGCACACGGTGTCTCCACCAAAGACGCAACCGTCCCTCTCACCATCTTCATCCTCGTCCCACAGTTCGTGCTCACGGGAATCGCCGACGCCTTCCTTGAGCCTGCCAAGATTGAATTTTTCTATGATCAAGCGCCGGAAGGGATGAAGAGTCTGGGGACTTCTTATGCAATGACGACGCTTGGGGTTGGGAATTTTCTGAGCAGCTTTCTGCTGTCGACGACGGAGAAGGTGACGAGGAGGTTGGACGGCGGCGGGGAGGGGGGTTGGATACTCAACAATCTCAATAAGTCTCATTTGGATTACTATTACGCTTTCTTTGTTGTTCTGAATGTCGTCAATTTCTTCTTCTTCCTTGTTGTTAGCCGACTGTATGTTTATAAAGCAGAGTCAAGTACTGAGACTGATGAGGCTTTTGAAGAATCCGATCAGGAGAAATCGAAGAATATTGAAGATCAAGATGGGTAGATGATTTCATCATTGGGAAGTTAAATGGTTTAATTCAGCAAGCAAAATCCGTGAAAATAAAATAGCTCTTTTGATGCCTATTTTTATCCTTTTTTTTTTGAGGGGCATTTACATGCATACCACACAACTCTTATTTATTTACTTACCTAACACCTAAACTCTGATATTTTAACATTCATAACACCAAAATATTTCATACCTCGAAAAAAAATATCATCATTGCCGATACGTGTTGGAATGTCCACGACTATAGAGTAATGAAATAGCATTTTAGCACTAAACGGAAACTAAACACAGACTCGAGTAATTAAAGAGAAGTAAACAGAATAAGACAGCTCAATTTTTACGGGAAAAATTTTAGAAAGTGAAAAATCACGGGGTCTAACTCCATTGAAATAATCAACTATGAATAATGAAAACACACGTCCACTTTTCTCCTGCGTTAGGGAAGATGGAGCTACACAAATGATCATTGCAAATTTATTATAGTAGTTCATCGATAATAGTCGTGGTTTAGCTGTAATGAATATAGTTCTTGATGATAGTATATTGCAATGATCATAGTTGGTTGCAATAAAGACAGTAGTCCGTCGTGAATGTTGTAGATGATGACTGTGACACCAGCTTAACATATAGGTCGAAGTTGAAAGTTTTGATAGTAGTTGGTTGTGTGAGTCATAGTTGGTTGCCTCTGGAGCGTCAATTGACCACAAAAGACATTGTGACACCAGCATAACATATAGGTCGAAGTTGAAAGCTTTGATAGTAGTTGGTTGTGTGAGTCATAGTCGGTTGCCTCTGGAGCGTCAATTGACCACAAAAGACATAGTAGGAAGCTGCAAGAGCTGTGAGTCATATAAGCTGTAGTTGGTCACATATGTCGTAGTGGTGAGTTGTGATAACATTGACAAACTATAGAGACATGGTATTGAGGGCCATGTGATTTTGTGGGTTGCATTGGGAGCTGCGATGACATCCATATATCACAGAGGCAGGAGTCTGGAGCTGCACAAGCGGTAGGCTTGTCGTAGTGGTTATTATGATGTCTATAGTTTGTAGAGGTCATAGTTGGGAGCTGCATGAGCTGTGCACCATGTGTGTTGTGGTTGGTCACGTGAGTCTTAGTGGTGAGTTGTAGCCCCAAGAGCCGAAGTCTGGAGTTGCAAGAGTTATGGCCCCAGGAGCCGAAGTTTGGAGTTGCAAGAGCTGTGGCCACATAGTCCGTAGTTCGTCACATAGGGCGTAGTGGAGAACTATAATGATGTCCATATGCCACGGGGGCAGGAGTCGGGAACTACAAGGAGGGAGTTTTAGGAGTCTAGAAAAAGTCATCGTCTTAAGGGGGAATTGCTACACCGTTATCAGTCGGTGTTATTGCACCGTCTCTAAGATGCGTTGTTACACAGTCGTTGATGGTCGAAAACTTACTGTGAAGTAAGTCAGTCAATCACCCAAGTATACATGTCAAATAATATGCGGTCTAAGAGTTCACATATTGATCCCATGATGAAAGGGCTAACAATTATTCTTAGTAGAAAATATCTAGTTTACTAATTTTGTGAGCCTAGCCCAGGGTGATCACAAAAAGATGTTGAAATTCTAAAAAGTCTTACATACACAAAAAGTGGTTGTAGAAAGCAAAAAACAAAGTAAAGAAAGTCTTCGTGTTCTTCAAGAGTGATGAGACTCACAGCTATGTGATTCATGTATCGTGAAGATTTTGTGGTTGCTTATAATATTTTTTTATGAGATAATTGTCAATTGGGGATAAATTTCTTCTCATGCCTATGTCTAGGTCAAAAGAATGATTATAAACCTATGAAATTTAGTTTTGTTTAATTCTATGGTGTTATCCTAGATTCTTTTGATTTTCTATTAAGATTGCAAAATCATACTAAAATATGTCTATCCTCTCCAAATCCTATTGATAGAAAATATAAAAACTACCCCTTGGGGAGAACTCTCTCTCACATCCTCCAGCCGCCCAACTCTCCTTGAATTTGTCCTTATGAGCATATATATATATATATATATAACAAATCTTCAATTTTCACAAAAGGATTATGGAAGAGCTGACACCTGACATAAATAAATAAAAAAGTATATATATATATATATATATATATAAAGCTTGATAAAGGCAATAAAATCTTTGCAAAATTGGTTCAACGAGTCTGGCGTGTGTGCGCCGTGAAGATGACACAGGTGCACTAAGGCCAGGCCCAGGTGCGCTGTGATTCTGACAAGGGTGCGCTGAATCTGGAAGATATAAACACGAGTGCGCAGTGATCCAGGTGCGTGTGCTTTAAACTTGTGTGAATACACTGTGTTTAGGACGCGGGGGCGCTGCTCCACCACAAGTGCACAATAAATATGATGCAGGCACGCTAAGCCCAAATCATTCCTTAATTGCTGAAATTTATCTTTTTTCGTTCCAAAACTGCATATGCCCTGTCACATACACAATTGAGACAACAATATGTTTCCAAGTATAATATCAATAAATAAATGTACAAAAGCAAAAGTAACAAGCCAGAAATTCATAACATATATCACTCGTATCAGTCATGGAGGTGTGTCATTGCACCGTATATGGGGGGCATTTTTACATTGTCAACGAATTGTGTCATTGCATCATATTTGGGGTACGTTGTTACCCCCCCCCCCCTTTAAGTGATGTCATTACACTGTATCTGGGATATGTTGTTACATCGTCATCGAGGTGCTTCTCTGCACTGTATATCAAGTTTTTGTTACACTATATTCGAGAGGTGTGATTACATTGTATATAGGGTGCGTTGTTAAGTCATCATCGGGAAGAATCGTTACACAGTGTTTGGGGTGCAATGTTACACCGTCTATGAGGTGCTTTAACATTCATCAGCGTAAGGTGAGATTTTGTAGCGCACATTGTGACTTCATAAGAGACTTTCATGCAATAAGCATATGACGACTGATAGTGGTCAACGGTGGCCAATAGACAGTGGTCGGAGCTGGCCAGAGGCAATGGTGGCGAAAATAAGAGGTAGAGAGGGCCATAGTTGGCTGGAGGTGTTAGAGACCAGAGTCTCTTATGAAGCCAACTAGTAGATGATGTAGCTAGTAGGTGATGCAGTCAATGTTCCAGTCTCGAAATGGGAGAATTGTTGGGTAATGTGGAGACCCGGTCCACCAAAATTTAATTAGCTTCATAATTAAGAACCTCACCTACCGCTCACCTACTTTCCCACCTACCGCTCACTTACTACATCCCATCTACCATTCACATACCTCCCACCCATCGCTCTGATGGTTTATATAAATAGCCTCTTTTGGCTTAAAGAAGAAGCCAAGCCAAGCAAGACCAAGCTAAGTCCTCTTTAGAGCTAAGAGAGAAAGAGAGATGAAGAGAGAGAGAGAGGAAGGGAGATAAGAAAATAGAGATTTTCTTGTAAACGTCGAGGCACTCAACGATGTAATTCTTCGTCCCTTGCAGCTCTGTGGACGTAGGCAAATTTGCTGAACCACGTAAATCTGTGTGTCGCTCTGGTGTTTTTCTGCGTGCAAATTTTCTCGTTCCATTTTTCACTTTATTGTTGTTGTTATTCACAACATAGAATACTATAGTAAAGCCATGGTAATTTGGAGGATGCAGTCAGAAGATAGTAACTAAGTGGCTAAAGTCACTTGATGATTGTTAGGATATTATAGTTGGGCAATTATGGTAGGACTACCATAGTTAGGCAATTGTGGACGGAAGATATATACTTGGGCAATCATAATTTGATTGGGGGGAGGGGGGGTGTCAGGCGGTCATATATGAGTGATAAGAATCACAGAAATATAGTTAGCAATAATGTTTGGAAGTTTATGGTCTGGTGTGTAATGGTCAATTGCTTGGGCGTTGACGCTCCTATAATAGAGGTCGAACGGTGATTCATCACTGGAGATAGGGACAAAGTCTAATGCAAGTACTCATGTAGAGCTTACGAATCCTTCGAACTCCTAATCTCTCTTTAATCTTCCTTCTTTAAAACCTCTCTCATTTAGACAGTGAGGGATTATATATATATTTTTGAGAGTGACATTTTCTATTAATATCGTCAAAATCCAAAATACTCCACCAATTGAATTAAATTGTATCCCTTAACTATAAGAATTTATGTCTGTCTTAGTGAGATCAAAATTGTATAATAACAAGTCAGGAAAGTCATGATAGTAGTTGACTTAGTGAGATCAAAATTGTATAATAATAACAATAATTTTATAATAATAACAAGCCAGGAAAGTCATGGTTTATTGCTATAAAAGTAGTATCCTGTCATAAATGTTATAGATGGTAGTTGTAGCATCTACTTGTCATAAAGGTCATCGTAGAAAGTCATGATAGTAGTTGACTATGCATGTCATAAATGATTTCTTCAGGATCATCTGTTGGCTACAGGGGCGTAGGAGGGAGTTGAAGGAGTTGTGAGTTATATAGGTCACTGTTGGTCACAGAGGTCATAGTTATGAGTTGTGATAACATTTGGAAGCTATATAAATCAAACTTGAGAGCTGCATGAGTTGTGTGTCGTTTAGGTTATAGTTAGTCATGTAAACTGTAGTGGTGACTCACAATAATGTCCGTAGGTCATAGAAGCCAAAGTTGGGAGCTGCATGAGTAATGGATCACATAGGTCGTTGTTAGTCACGTAGGTCATAGTGGTGAGTTGTAATAATGTTTGTAGACATTAAAGAACAGAGTTGAGAGATGCATGAGTTGTGGGCCACATAGACAATAATGATGGGTTGTAATAATGTTTTTTATACCACGGAGACCAGAGTTGGGAGCTAAAAGAGTTATATACCACGTAAGTCATAGTTCACCGCCTAATATATAATAGTGATCTGCAATAATGTTTGTAGGTCATAGAAGTCGAAGTTGGAAGCTATGTGAGCTATGAGTTACATAGGCCGTATTGAGGAGCTACAGTGGCGTCTAGGGTTGTCAAAAAGCTTTTATTCTATGACTAACTCATGTTCGGCTCGTTAAGCAGCTCATCAATTCATTCGTTTAGCAAGTATGCTGAACACTTTGAGCTCAATTTATAAAAAGTCAAACACAAACAAATGTTGTTCTTTCGTGTTCAGCTCGTTTTAGCTCGAAATAATTAAATAATCAATCAATAATATTTATTTATATCCTCTCATATTATGTTTTTATTTTTAGAAATTGTTTTTGGCAGTAAAATTATGAAAAATGTAAGTTTAGGTGTTAGATATGTAAATAAATAGATTTTTGTGGTATGCATATAAGTGCCCTTATAAAAGAGCACTTTCATTTCTCTCATTTAAGAATTATAAATCAATGAGAGTTGAGTAGCATGCATATAAACACCATAAGATTTTCCCAAAAATATTGGCTCTTAACTTTTCTACATATGTAAATACTTAAGAATTGGTGGTATGTATGTAAATGATGCCATGACCATAAGAATTCTACCTCCCACATCATGTCCTCCTATTTCTTATATATTCTCACTTCGCCTATATTTAAATGAATTCGGATTCGAAATTCAAATTTAGATCGAGTCGAACACAAATATGTTTATTTACGAGCCAGTTCAAACACGAACTCATTTAAAAATCCAAAAAAATTTCAAATGAGCCGAATATGAACAAGCTCTGAGCTCACTTTTGTTTGACTCGTTTACACTCCTAGCGACGTCAGTTGGCCCTCAAGGCAATGGTGAAGGGTTATGGTTGATGTGAACCACATACTCCACAACGGGCATTTTAATATATACCGCCCAATTCCTATGTATTTACATGTTTAACTCCTAAATTTTGCATTTTAGATTTATACAACCAAATCTTCCATATCATATAAAAAATAATACCATTTTAACTTTATAAAAGCTAAATGTATCTTCCATACATAAGTAAGATAGTATGCATGCACAAATTAAAATTTAGTTGTTAGAATTGCAAATTCATAGTGAGTGGTTGGCATGTATGTACAATTGTATATCTTCTTATATAACTTTATAAATAGAATGCATTTCATGTTAATATATGTAAAAAAAAAAAATTTGGGTAAGAATATTTTGACTTTGATCAGGAAGGATGAGTTTTTTAAATTATAAATTTATTTGAGATGAATGTATTATATAAATAATGGTCTGTTTGGGGCAGCTGCAACTTATTGAGGGTCCATTTGGGGCAGCTTATAAGTGCGGGCGGCGTTTTCAAAACGAAACGCCACCGTACCGTTTGTCTCGCGCGTTTCACTAGCTTATCCGAAACTGCATTTGAGTTTTTACACTAAACGCAGGTCGTGGGTCGACCCTTGCGGCCGGCCCGCGGGCCGCGTTTCAGGATAACCGGCCACGGGCCGCGTTTCAGGATAAGCAGTTTATCCTAAAACACACAGCTGCCTAAAACGGACGCTGAATAATCAGTTGATAAACTAATTAGATATGTGCGGTGTGAAAATACTGCTTTCAGCATTTTCAAACCGCAGTTTACCCAAATAGTTCATGTGCGTTTTCAAAACGCCACCGCACCAAATAAGCTGCCCCAAACAGACCCTTAATAAATAAATTTTATATTGCATTAAGGGTCTGTTTGGGGCAGCTGCAGCTTATCCAGCTTCTGCTTATAAGCAGCTTATCCTGATAATCTGCTGATGACCAGCTGATACGGATGAGCTGTATGGTTGGCGCTTATGGAAAACAACTGATTGTGAAAAATTAACCATTTTGCCCCTGTTCTGAATAAGCAGTTTAGCTGTTTGGTTAGTGCGTTTTGTAAACAGCTTATTTGAAAAATTTTTTCATTAAATGTATAATCTGTGCAACAGAATCTGTTCTTTTCTAAACAAAATTAAAAATAACTGTTCAGACAATAAAATACCAAAAAATTAATTTATATTCATATAACTAAAACATATCTGATCACATCAAACGAATATGTTACACATACAAAAGTCAAACGCATATGTACATACTACTACAACCTGCATCTGACACTCCAAAACCCTGAGCAAACCTGTCCGACTGCGATATTCTAGAAACGGAAGAACTCGAACCACATGTGGTGTTCTCCTGTTGTGGCACTATTGAACTCCTAGCAGTTGTGTCCAATTGGGAGCACATAGAAATAGTTCCACTGTCGGCCCACATGAAGAATTTGCAGTCGTCCTGTCCTTGTCCCCACCGCGGGCACCTGTAGAATTGTCGTCCGTAACTATGTGTCTGTCGTGATGTGAAAAGCAATGACGGTAGCCCACATCGACACATCCATATCACGACCCATACCGCCTGCATCTGACACTCCAAAACCCTGAGCAAACCTGTCCGACTGCGATATTCTAGAAACGGAAGAACTCGAACTACATGTGGCGTTCTCCTGTTGTGGCACTATTGAACTCCTAGCAGTTGTGTCCAATTGGGAGCACGTAGAAATAGTTCCACTGTCGGCCCACATGAAGAATTTACAGTCGTCCGGTCCTTTGTCCCCACCGCGGGCACCTGTAGAATTGTCATCCGTAACTATGTGTCTGTTGTGATGTGAAAAGCAATGACGGTAGCCCACATCGACACATCATTTGCTCCGACTTCCCTGAATTTCTCGAGCTCATTGTCCTGCAATTATGTTAAAAAGCGTTAATCAGTCAAAAATTTGAGGGAATAAAAAAAAAACTTAACATACCAAATTGTGAAAGCAATTGTTGCAACAGTTATTTGGCCACCTGCATCTAAGACCACTCTTATTAACTTCATAAGAGTAACAAAATATCACTTTAAGTTCATATAACAATCTGAAACATTAATATTTACAAAAATATTAATATTGCATAGGAGCATCGAAACATTAATACAGGGTGATTACATATTAATGTTTAGGATATTATACAGTGCTTCAACTTGATAATAAAAAAAAAATTTAAATGATGAAGAAGAAATCTATAACTTACAAAGAAAGCTAAAAAGGGATTTTGAATTGAAACCATCCAAAATTTCGAAAGATGGAAGAAGAACAATGATCATCCTATGGAAAAGAAACCATATCAATAAAATTGAAACCATCCAAAATTTCGACCAACATTGAATCCAACATACCCTAATTTCGACCCCAATGGGTCATACCATAGTAGCGGTTGCCATCCAAGCTACATACATAGCAAGGGGCCATCCAAGCTACATACAGATTGCTTACAAATTTTAGATGCTTCCATAACCATACCATAGTGTCGTTACATTTTGTAGTGCATGATACTGGAACCAAGAATAAAGCACAAAGAGTTGCATGAGTAAGGATTTTCTCCTAACAACACTAGAAATAAATCAGTTTTATATCAACAGACGCATACATTTCTCATCTAACCAAGCTATATAAAGCAACCATATAA